GATGCGGTGCTTTGCCAGGTAAGGTTTGGTTCCAGCTTCCCAGCTGAAGCCTTGTCCCTCCTACCAACCCGGATTTTCATAATTACCAAATACACTTGCAAAATACAACAGTTATTAAAAAAGTTGAAAAGCTTCATTATTAAAAAAGTCATCTAAGTAAGTTTCCCATCTGAAGATTAGAAACATCTAATAAACCTTCAAAACATGCCAGACAGTCTGTCACAGACAGACAAATGAGATACTTCTCAGCTTTATCTCATGGGACTAATTCATCTGGCAGGAGAGGAGGTTTCTAAATAGTTTCATCAGAGGAATGAACAGCCATGGACTGCCAAGTAACACTGGTCTGGGGGAAGAATATCACTAGCCGCTTACCTGTTCAGCAGACAGGCTAAAACTTTAAGTGCCTTCCCTTCATTTTCCCCCATTCTCTGATTCAAAAGCAAGAAAGAAACATTAGCAAACATCAGACTGCCCTTTTATATTTCCACAACCTCCAGGATCCCTGGTCTCAAGGAACTCTGCCACATCTGGCGCTATACAGCCTGAGAACACAGCTCCTACCTGTTATCTATCTTGTCTGCTTCAGCTGCACTGACATGACTGCAAAGACCTTCTCTGCCAAATGTTTGCGTTGTACACAGCAAAATAAACACTTTTTCTTGGTCAACTCCTGTAAACACATATATACAAGAATTGGGTATTAAGTCATTTCCTGCACCACCACCTTCCCTGTCAACAGCAGCGTAACGCTTTAATAACCATAACACAAGTCATCACACCTATCTACATTAGGTAAAGGTCCTTGTTCAGTTAGATGAGATCTAAACAAATGACAAAAAAGTGCAGGAGGCAATCACAGTTTCTTCGTCTACATATGCTATTTTAAACTGCAGCTAATATGCACAAAAATAGGAAATTCAGACCTCTTTCACTGCAGGCAAGGCAAAGACTTACCCACTACTACCACTGTGGGCTAAGAGCACAGGCAGCACACAGTTGCTGTGCAGCATGCACAAAGCACATGAGCGAACGTCTCTAAGCCTTCAGGAGATGCATCGACACCACAGTAATGACAGAAGGGCAGAATAGTCAGTATTGAGCTGCTGTACTTAAGACTTCTACTGGTCCCTGCACGAGTTCCTGTACCTCCCCGAAGTACCTTATCTACAGACTTCCACAAAAGCATGTAGGAGGTCACAGCCAATATTTTAAACAACTAAGCTGTGCCTCCTGCTTAAGTAACAACAGACAACTACATTTATGTATGTTACTGTCCTAAATTATACTTGTGCTAAGACAGGAAGTCCTCATTCACTTATGGGGTACCATGATAAATTATCTGAATGAGAATTCTCATTCTCAAGGCAGGCTTCTGTTTAGCTATAGTATTCTGGAAGATAACGGATCCTATGTTTTGCACAACACAGGACAGGATGCAGTGTTATGACACGGTAAAATAAGCTAGAATAGAAGTCAGACTGTGCAGAGAAGAGGGGAACATAGTTTAAGCAGAAAAAAACTGAAGATGTGCTTGTCGAACCTTGTCTGCTATTCCAAACTGCTAGGATTTTTAATAAAAACTATTTACCTTCCCAGGACGTTTTCTTCCCAACTCAAAGCTTCAGAGCAATCTCTGAGCTATTAAAGGGAAGACAAGGGTCGGGGAGGGAACATCTAGCACAGCCACACATTGGTTTAATTACCATCTAGGACCAGAGTGGAGGCTTTCTTGTCACAAGTGGTCTGGATTTTTTTTAGGTGCCCAGCTTGAAGCAGTTTGCTATTTTCAGCACAGCCGAGCACCCACAGAGGCACTTGCCATTGAACAAAGCATTAAGGCGCCAAGAAACGGTGCTAATCAGTAGATATTCCTGAGAAGCGTTAGCCGAAGGATTTAGTCAGCTCTAAACAGATACCTAGACAAAGTACATGATCAACAAAACTCAGTCCTGTTAAGAACCACAGCCCAAGCTGCTTGGAGGGTTTTTCTTTTTCTATATGCACTTGCAGAGAAGAATTTCATTAATCCTTTCGGGACCCACAGTTACCTCCAAAGCGAGAGGAAGAATAGAGCCCCAGGTCTTAAGGGCAAGAAAAACCATGGGGATAATGACAAAAGAGAGCATACATACTATCAATTCCCTTCCACATCTAGCCAGTCCTGATCCTACCATAAAAAAATGCCATGATTAGGGTGACCAGTTCAACACACCTAGAAAGAGAGCCAGGATAGCTACAGATGTTTCTTTCTAGTCTTGAAACGCCAACATTGTCATTTCTAATCTCATAGGCTCTTTTTCACACTACTACTGTTCTCCCCTCCTGTTCTCTGCTCACTAGAATTTTAGTTCTCACCTTCCAAGGAAATCTAGGCCCAAGGCCCTGTGACAGAAACTGTGAGAACAGTAAAAGAGCTGTAAATGCGTTATTTTATTAATATGCCTCAAACCGCTACTCAACCTCTGTTGCTCTGCTTGACATATGGATGCTTAGAACTACCATGTCCTTTCACTGTCAAGGCTCACTGCAGGATCCATGTGTGCCAGGTCACGTACCAAACGCAACCCAATCACGACTCTCCAGCAGGCAGTTTCGTGTCAAGATCAACACACACCTTGGCAGACACATCAGCAGCGACTGCTAAAGGCAATCGGGTTAAGAGAACCTGCCCTGAGAAGAACTGCATCTACTGTTAAAGAGGGGAGGGAGAACAAAACACAAAAGATTTTCAAAGAGAGCAGCCCAAAAGCAAGCTTGCTTAATGTTCTGAGTTGGTGATCTTGCAGATACTGTCATTATATAATATTCCATAGCGTGAAAATAGATGAGAGTTATACTCTAGATGAAATTTAATTTTATTTGTGTACATTTCTGGACCATATTAAAACTGTAATGCTTATGAAATGAAATATTTAGCTGCAAGATACTTCAATAGAATGGTTTATTTGGCCATGAGTCTATCTGCCACATTACCAATAATTAAAATCAAGTTTTCATAGAGGAAGTGAAAAAAAGGATTTTAGCTGCATTTTCAAGCTGAATCATATCAACATATTTAAAGAGGAGATATGAGCTCCAGTTTTTCCCCCTTACAGGCAAAAATTATTTAAAAATGGGAAAAGTGAGTCATCTGAATTTAATTATCAGGCTCTGAGTTGCAAAGGCCAGCTTTGAAAAACAAAACTTAAAATAAGACACTTTGTAATTCTGCTTATGGGACTAAAAATCTTACTTCCTGAGAATCCCGAATCAGGTCTCTCTGAACTGACTGTTGTGTTTTTCTTGCCTACGTGCATTTCATGATGCTATAAAAATACAGGATGAACCTTGAAAAGCAGAACAGTTTCTGCTATGAGCTTGGGATGAAATTTGTGTTTGCACGACCTGTGTTCCACTCACTAACACAAGTCATCTCTTGCCTGGACTGCTCTACCAGCTAATTCAGAGTCCGCTGCTGTTACTAGCTCACAGAGTTCATCCAGCTCCCAGGGAAACGTCTTCAGGAGGAAGGGGATCATTAAAGATGCAGCATGCAGGCATTTGAGGTTGGGGGAAGTTAGTAAATACATCATTATTCTGTGACAAGGCCCCAGAACTGATTTCTTTAAGACTTGCTCCTTCAAAATAGCTCCTATATCTTCTAAGGAGTTTTCGGTGTGTGCGTGCGTTACTGAAAGTCAAAATGACAATTTTCTAAGACACATTCGCCATTTCGAAAATTTTACTACGGTGTATTTATGAGTAGTTTATTAATTTTTTTCCAGCAGGTTCCCTCTGACAGGTATTGTTTTATTTTTGATATGACAAGATAGTGCTGCACCAGCAACACCTTCAGGCTGAATAACGTTTCTTAACCAACCACATTCATCCTTACCACATACCGCAGATCACTGATCCTCTCTGCAGCGCATAATAGCTAAAAAGTAGCAGTGCCCTAAAATATTAATTCATGCTAATAAAAACATTTTTTTTCACGAAACAGAGGCATCTAATTTTCAAAGGGTCCTGGGAACAGTAAACAGCTGGTACATAGTAAACGGCAGGCTGTCATATTAATATATCCCAAACATTCAAATCCTATTCCTCCATAATTGCCAGGCAAGTGTAAATTACTTAAATGAATGTTATTTGTGGCAGTGACAGAATCCTCATGAATAATCGTAATTTAACTTCCTGCAGATAATCCAAGGCAAGACCTAATCATTTCAAACACTTAATTCTTCCATTCCAGAGGAATGTTGGGTCTAAGATTACTCCCTATTATTTGCTACTAGTTAGGTGTTTTAACCGTTTGTTGAATGAAATCACAAAGCAGAAAAACATAGTGCCTAGATCAATTAGAGGCAGATTTTCTTTGCTATATGCAGTATGTGAAATTCCTTCTGCAAGCCCTCACTTCAGATTTCATAGCACTGATCATCTGAGCTGCTCTAGGATATTGAAAAAAAACAATGGGGCATTTATTACACATAAATGCAATGTTTCTGAAAGCTTGCACATTTGAGCACTGCTCAAGCAAACTTACTGGGATGAGAGGAGTATTTAAATTCCACATGCAGCCTCCTGCCGAAAGAACAAACTCATCTGTAGACCATTTGCCACAGGTTCATTAACAGTAAAGGCAACTCGTCAGCAACATATTTGGCAATAATCAGAAAACAATTTAACAAACACAAGGTTTGAGTACGGTACAGCCAAGGGTTTCTTTGTTTCTATTTTTCATAATTCTTTATTTCTATTAACCAGTCACATACTGTGGAGCCTTTTTGCAAAAACTGGCCTTAAGGTAGACAATGGTCATTGTAAAACTCACCAAGCAAATAAAAACCATCCAAGGAACTTCCTTGGAACAGCACAGCTATAACTTCTGATTGGGAATCACTAGGAACTATCCCCATTCCATACTAATTCTGCTCACTCTGAATTTCCTATCGTGGTTTGTACCTCTGCATATAAAATTTTACCATACAGACCACAAAGTATAGCCAGTAACCTACCAGAGCGAAGATCCCTCGGTTCCAGCAACTTCTAAAATGTCATATCCATCTTCCAGCTGAAAGTCCATGAAAACCAGAGCAATAGTGTCTCCAGGTTCAGCTAGAATAGTCCACGTGCAATCTGCATTATTGCCATACTCCAAAGGAAAATGAGGGCTTGAGATAATTCCACTCTGTCCTCGTAACGTCCCTCCACAAGCATCATCAGCTGGAAGACAAGCAATGCACATTAGGAGATTTTGTTGAAGCGCACAAAGCAGCATGTCCAAAAAAAAAAAAAAATCACAGCAAAGCTTTAAAAGCCCCAATGCTTTTGTAATAAGGCTAAAACTTCTTGGGGTTTTTTTTTTTTTGGAATATTATCCAAAATTATATTGAAATTATATTAGCGGGGGGGGGGGGGGTTTTTCTACAAAATATTAAGAAACAAACATGTTGAGGGAGGCAAAATCCTATTAGGTCATCCAGTCTGCCTCCTTGCAAGCGCCAACTTATTCCCAACAGTACACTTTCCAGTGATTTGTTTCGTCTAATTTTAAACATCCCAAGTGACAGAGCTTCTACCACTTCCGTGAGGAGGCACTTCCTCAGCCTAATTCATCTTGCTGTCAGGACTACTCCCTCACACGCTGTTGCCTGCGTCCTTTTGTTGCAGCCCTTACTCCTAATTAGGATCCTCTGAAGTGCCTTCTGTAACATCCCTTCCATCCCCGTAGATGGCAAGGCAGGAGGAAAACCACAGGGAATTCAAAGACTGAGGAGAAAGAGGGTTTCACAGGCATAGCCCCCTTCTCTTACCATAGCAGGGAAGGAGGAGTTTTGGTTTGCAAAGAGTTGGAAGAGTTCCCATCCAAGAGAATACAAACAGTGAAATTTATGCCCAAACGAAAACGCCTAAGTATGCCCGTCAGCCAAGAACGAAGAAAAAGTGAATTTATGCCCCACCTCCAACTCACACCCAATATTCAGACCTTTCAAACATACTCCCATACTTGGAAATGAGATCCAGGTTTTTCTAGAAGTCATATTTCTACAAAAAGTCAATAAGGCTCAAGACATTTCCAAGTTAGAAAGCATAGCTAGTTTGGGAAGCAGGGTAGGAAAGAGCTAACAGCTGATATGGGTCAAAACCTGATGGAAATGCCTGATCTAGCACCCTGGCACTGTTTTTCAAAGAACATATGGATGCTGAAGTGTATTTAGTATCAGGGTAGATACTCAATGAAGGAGTTGTCATTTGCACCCCGCAGTATCTAAAGCTCTGACATATTCAGTGCACGTGGAAGGCATGGTCTTGACTTGCACTGAGAAGCAGCCAGAAGGAGAAAAGTCTGTATTGGTTTCAAGAGCACCTTCAGCATGGAAGAGTCCCAAGGGATTTCCCTGCAGGTGACCACACTCAGCAACTCCCCTCCTGCTCTCACCAGGAGGAGAGGGGGAAAGCAAGTAGTTGCAGCTGTCTTAAACAGCCACCAAGCTTAGCACTTAGCCTGGACAATGCCTAACAGAAAGTGGTGGAGTACTCCAGATACGTGCCTTACTGGTCTTTGGCTTGCCCTGTTCTCTGAAGGAAATTGATGCTGTTGCCAAAGTCACAGCGGTAAAAATTTAACCATTTGCTCAGAAATCAAACAGTGACATTTCCTGATTATATACTGGATCTCCTGCTTGCTGCTGGTTCTTTTATTTTACAGTGAGACTTATGAGCAGTAGCTGTTAGAACAATTAAAGGAGGAGGACCTAAGAAAACACGCGCAGGCAGATAAAAAACCAAGAATTAATTTGACTAGCGTCAGGGCAGCGCACAGCTCTTGTACGTGCAACATCAGCCTGGCATTTCTTTGGAACACAGCTAAGAAAAGCACGTTAACTCTACAACATGTAATACAGAGCATTTCAAAGGCGTTAGTCAAAGAGCTTGGGGCTTTACATTATGAACATGTATTTTTGTGACAAATCATAAAAAAAAAAAATCTCTTCCAAACTGAAGTTTAACACAGGTGAGAACCTCTGAAATGCAATGGTTCACTGGCATCCAGGAACAGACAGGAGGATTCTGCAGGAGAGCTCTGTAGGGTCTTTTATACTGTTCAGCTCTCAGACTCTTTTCAGGAATTAGTAGCTTGTACTATCAGCAGGATTATCAGCAGGGCTGGAGCTTGTAGCCTTTAACTCATGAAACTTGAAAGACAAACTAAAACAAACCTCTCATTCATGCCAACTCTTCTTTCTATGACCATCTGCTATCCAAACGCGGCCAGCCAACCAAACGAGCAGAAGGCACAGGCAGACACATGCTTTCCCACTGACTGATGGCAAGTGACTGAGATAGGAACACCCTAGGCTATTAACTTATTGTTTATATTATATTAACATACTACGCATGCTGCACTAGGCACCTCTAAGCCCCAGCGGAGATCAAGGCCCTTTACAACCGGTTCTGTCTCAGACAGGGATGCACCTTGCTGAGTAGCGCAGAGCTCAAGTGCCTTCAAACTTCAATGCAAGAGACAAAAGCAAGCGTGTGTCCTCCACAGAAGGTTCGTGCAAAAGAGAGACGAGAAGCAATGAAAATGCTTTTTAGAGGATGAGCAGATTTTAGCCACAGAGGGTAAGCACGATTCACCAATTTCGTGAGAAATTAAATTTGCACATATCAGTAATAAGTCCCGCTGCAGATGCCAGAAAGAAATACATGCAAAAAAGATTCTTAGCTAGTGAACTCTGCCAGACCACATGCCTAGCAGCGAGACAGACGAAGCAAGGTCATTAGCTGCTTCAGCAATGCACAGAGATCTGAAGAGGCAATTTATTCTTAAGAGATATTTCCCCCCAAAAGGGCAGCTATCTCCAGTATAATACATTAAAGATTATTGTTGCCTGGCCACTATTGGCCTCAGGCAACAGTCCAAAATACTACTGCAAATAAGGCCCTGCACCACCACCACAAGACATCTGCAAGCAGTCCAGATTCTTCACATGAACATCACGTTCTCAGAGGCATAGGTGGTGGTGACCAAACACTTGTTTTTTACCACGATCACACGTTCATACAGCTCAGTTACACTGCTCTCATCTGAGAACTAGCAGAACAACAACAAGGATTTGGGAGAAGCTATTCCTATGGGCAAGTTCTCAGCCCATGCTTACTATCGGGTTCTGGGAAATCTGAAGACAGTATCTGGTATATTACAGTTGTTCTAGGAGGAATACAGGGAGGGAGAGAGACTATGCTATTTAAAGAATTTTAACTCTTGATGCTGTATTAGTCTTAGAGTTCTTAAATAAGGGCCTGTATCATCTTGGATAGGGCTAAGCTGACTTACAGTAGGCTGAAGATCTATCCAAAGGTCTTTTATAAAAAGGAGATTGTTTTCAATTAAAAAATATTGAAAAAATATTCATCGCAAAAGTTACTTAATGGAAAATGCATTCCTTTCCCATCTCCCCTCTAAACTATACCCTTCCGTAAGTTTCTAGAGCTTGTTACTCTTAAAACACGTTTTAAAATCTTCTGAAATCTTCTAGAATGGCATTTCAACTATTTTGGGCATGGTGCAGTCTAAACTGCTGTTTGAGAGAAGACAGACCACTTCTAACGAGATGATGCATATTTGATATGCTTAAAATGTAGCTTCGCAAGCGCTCTCAACTTTTCAGCTGGCTTACTGAATTTTTACTCATCTGCCTACCAGAATCATAAACCTATCAGTTCTACTTAAATTCAGCAAACAATCTCTGCAAGATTTCTCTCTCTGCATGCACTTTAGAAAACAGAATCGGAGACATATCAGGATATTCTTTCGGAACTTCAAACATAACATCCTGGCTTATCTGAGACTAACTGACCCAAGTGAGGACTGTTCTTCAGTGACTACAGCAACACCGGAAGATGAGATTCCAAGTGTAGCTGGGGGTTTTCCTCCAGCGTACCAACTGTCAAGATAAAAATAGAGCTAGATCTGTAGAATACAGTTTAGCGCCCCATGTAGACTAAGCAGTAGGCCTTATTTTATTCTGTGAATACAGAATCATGCAAAATGGATACAAAACATACAACATACATGCAATGGGGAAACTATTTCAGATTGTTTTCAGATACATAGCATATAGATGGGATAAACGCCAATTCCGTCCAGAGTTCAGAACCAGAACCAGACCGGCTGAGGACTTATGCTGCTCAAGGCAAATGTCTGAGTTACACAGTCTACTACCAGATACAGCCAAGCTCCTTCTCTGGGCAGCTAGAGCTGCCATCCAATTCTATGCTCTACTACTTTGCAGATCACCACCAAGGTGTCATTCACTGCTGCTCTGCTGCTCCTAGAATGAGATCACTGCAGTTTTAATCCTTTCTGCCACATAAGCAAGAAGCATAACTCAAAAGACAGGATTCTGTGCAGAGTGAATTTATAGCCTCCTTTAGCTCAGAGTCCAAGAATCAATTTTGATATAACCATGCTTCCAAAACTACTGGTGAGACACAGCACTAGCAGCTTTCACGGGTCTCTGCAAGAAAGTGCTTCAACAAGCTATTCGTTCTGTATCTTCCTTTGCTCACCGAGATTATACTTATCCTTTATAAAAATAGTACTTCTAAAACTGAGAGATATGTAAAGGAGTAATGACAATGCACATGAAGAACAAGTTGCTGGGCCACAGCACTTCTTTAAAGCGTCGCTGTCCTGGAGCAGCTAAGTTCTAGTTTCTCAAACACATCTGCTTCTTATTTTCCACCATGCATTTCTTTGCATGTTTGATTATTTCCTTACACAGACTGGAACAGAGACAAGGCTTGCAACCTACATAAAAGGATGTTATAAAGAACACGACAAGCATAAAGATAAGAGCATAAAGAAACAGGAGGTTATTGATTAGTACAGTAGAAATCTACTCTCCGCTTTCAGCACTTGTCTCACACCTCTGCCTTTATGCTGGGGAGGAAGGGAAGGAGGAAAGGGCATTTTTAGGCAGAGTCCCCACACCGAACACTGTCCTCTACAGTGACCTTAGACATGTCTATTCCCAAGATAGCTGCTTCTGAGATTGCAATACCTGCTCTGCTAGAGGACATATTTCATCTTGATTTGTCTAAATCCGATCCTGCAGCCTCATCCAGCTCCACTTTACATTCGAAAAACAGAAGAATACGTACAAACGTGTCTAACAAACTTTCAGTTGGAATTCCCACTGAGACAAATCCCTTAGATTTTTTTACTGCTACATTCACATCAGGCACAGAAAGTAACTGTCCTTTAAATGAAGTTTTTTTTGTTGTAGTAGGCTACGTTAAAACAGGACTCAAATTGCTCTCCCAGAAGCTTTAGGATGCTTTCCAGTATGCAAGTGCACAACAACCAACGTGCAATCCTGTAGACTGCTGAGCAAATAGGTCCAGAATAGTCCCAGTTTATTCAGGGAAGGAACCTAGGAAAAGACCAAGTGGGAGCAGAAGCACGAACACAAGATTAACTTAAGGAAGGTGCTCCCAGTACTGGCTATATAAAGCTGTGATCTCGTTTCTCAGCACTGCATTCATTGCTCTGGTCTACTCTAACTCATAAAAGGAGCTACAGGTTTAGTTTTACCTCCTTTACCGTAAAGGCAACGTACCTATAGAACACAGCTGGCATTTACATAAACACAGAGCCAGCCAAATTGAAAATAAAAGCCTCTGATTATATCTGTAGCCTCAAGTTTCAGAAAAACTTATCAACAAGAGGAGAGAGTACAAGAGTCCCACAGTCTTGCCTGTATGATACTGTCACCAATCCACCATCAGAGATAACACGGAGTAACTCTGGTGAATACTACAGTTAGCCTCAGGGGACAAAGTGAACCAATACCCATCTTCTGCTACATCTGTTTTTCCAGAAGGGCTGAACAAAAGAACTACGCACACTCAGCCTTCAGCGTCCCCATTCTAGTCATGGATTGGCACAGACAAAAAAAACCCAAAAACTGCTTCTGAACACTACTGCATTTGCCCAAGTTTGAAAAGTCATTCCAGTTACAGTCAGACTTGGGGAAATCACTGAGGTAGTTCCTGTGGTAAGATCAACATTCATTATCTCCTAACAGTTTCCACATAGCTGGAGCTTCTCCTTTTGTAACACCAATGTTTTCTGCTATCTATTTACAGGTGCTGCATTGTCAGTGCCATTGCCATTTTGTTAAAAAATTGTCTAGTGGATTCTGCTCAAAAGAGAAAAGAATTCTGTAAGAAATAAATCAGCTCCCCCATAGTCAGTAGCCTCCTTTGCAGTAACTTGATAGAGTAAGTTTTGCCTGACATATCTCAAAGGTTTGACATGCCAGCAGATGCTACTGCCCGATGCACTGGAAACGTACAATTTCTACAACCCAAATGTAACCAGTCCACTGTACAGTTCTCTACACAGAGAGGCATTTCTTCTGTTGACTAGTGCAGTATCATCTCTAATTCTGGATCACATGGCTGACTGACTAGGTCATACAGCTACAAATACTGCTTATAAGTCTAACTGGCCATTTTAAAAACTTGCTGCAGTATTTGACTGTCTTCTTAAGGGTTAATATAAGCTGCATAGGCCATGAAGATCTTTTCTCTATCAAGGAAATATATATTCCTCTTCATGCAGCAGTTTTGAAAACATTATTTTCCTTGCAGAACCAGGTGGCAGATCTGTTTGTTGGTGTGCAAATCTTTTTGCCCCTTGCAACATTTATTACCACTGTATCAGTCGAGCACAAATGTCTGACTGCTGAAAACCCTCTTAGAGTAGGAGGAGGGCAGCGGGGCAGGCAGTTTTCAAATTCTGCAAGTCAATTCACAGACTCTTTTTGCTACTTTCTACCTTTCTGGAATTAGATGTAGAAGTTACATAGGTAGATTTTCTGGATCTTGCCTCCAAGAAATTTATTAGAATTTTAACTACTAGTCTTGAAGGATCAGGATCAAGTCCACCAAAAAGGAACGACTGCCTCTGGGAACCTGCAGGCTACGCTGTTATATAAGAGCACCTCAGCAAGCAACTGGTTTGCTGCGATCAGAGCAATTCACAGCACTGTTGCAAGCATCATAGACTTTATTCCTCTGTTCTGATTCTGGACAGATGCCACCATCGTCATTCCTGGATCCAAAATTCAAACACTTATCACAGTTAAAAAAAGCAACTTCGGCAGTGCAAGACAAAAACGCAAAAATGATCTTTTACTCCATTTGCAGCAGGGAGTAGATAAAAATTACAACGGTGCCAATCCTCATGCTTCAGGAGCTCAACATCTGTTGGGGTCAAGAGTTAATCCCTCCCTTGCTGGAGACTACTACACAAATACCTGAATAGCAGCAGGGCAGGGGAAACATACTGCCTTCCTGCAAAGGAAGGCTGCTGTCAGACTAGAGGAAACACTGGTCCATGCATGAAGAGAATTTCTTTCCTTCTGAAAAATAAAGCTTTGGATGCTCTCAAGGTTGAAACTGAGTGATGTTTTTTTTTTTTCCCCCCCATGCTTCCAGTGAATTTAGAAAAGACTTTTCCCCTCCCTTTTTAAAAAAAAGGTTATAATGAAAACCCTGATTTGAAAGAAAACAATCATAACTGATCATCCTGAAATGTCCTGAAATGAAAAAGACACCAGTTGTCCCTCTAGTATCAGTTTGGCTGCATCAACAGCTCCTTCAGTGGCATAACACAAGAAGTTCCATCTAAACCGGAGAAAAAACTTCTCCGCTGTGAGGGCGACAGAGCATTGGAACAGGTTGCCCAGAGAGGTAGCGGAGTCTCCTTCCCTGGAGATATTCAAAACCCGTCTGGATGTGATCCTGGGCAATATGCTCTAGAGGACCCTGCTTGAGCAGGGAGGTTGGACTAGATGATCTCCAGAGGTCCCTTCCAACCGAAACCATTCTGTGTGATAACATCTATGGCCCCCAAACAGTAGGTAAGCGTACAAGAAATACAGCAAACAGCATGTATAACTGCCGTGTGACTCATTCAAGAAAGCATTAAGAGCACACCAAGCAAACAATATTTGCTCATTTTAAATTCAAGATTTATGCTACAGCTTAGACTTGCTAATTGATTGCACAAGCAGACAGTCAATAAAAAGAATCAATATAAGATGCGCTGCTGAAGTATACAAGGAATTGAGGGAAAAAGACTTCAAAAGCAGCAGCAACTGTTTTGGTAAAACAACCTATACACTTGTAATGTTTACAGACCCTCTAGTCCCTTGTGGGCCCAGAGGATTAACAAAAAGTGCTCTATACTGATAAAGAAATTGAAGTTAACCATAGCCAAAAAGGCAGAAAAGCTGGCTAGCCTTTCGGAGCAAAGGCCAGATTTTACCTCCTATGTAGCGACCTCTCTGTCTGAGGCGGCACACCCCACTGCCTGCATCCCTATAGCACATAAGCAGTCCATGCGGACTCAGGTTTCTTTAAAAGCAAAATACTAGAACTGCTGTGGAGTTTGCCAAAAGGAAAGCAATTATGACATTTGAGAAAGAAGAAAATCCAGTCTCATTTTCTAATATTCGATCTAAGGAAAACTCCATGGTCTTGGGAAGGTGCCTTATCTTAATGGTTAGTGCCCCCACTCCTTTTTAACCTTAGACAAAGAAACTGAAGTTAAAAGTAGCTGTGTGGCATTCTGAATGCTCTGTAAGTACTTTATAACCTTCCTATTATTCACCCAAATCCTGGCAGCTTTAGGGAAACTAATAAAACAGAACCTCAGTGTTAACAACATCATGTTTAGTTTTCAAGTCTTCTAAAATCAAGCTTACAGCTCATGAACTTTTTATCAAGCCCAAATAACTCATTAAAACTCTGTTTCATTGTGGCTTGTCCCAGGCCAAGAGAGGACATGTTACCTCTGCAAAAGGGTAGAGGAAAATCCCAGGAGGCACCATTTTCTGAATTGGCATGGCACGTGAGCAACGCGTGCCCTTCCAAAAAGAAGCCTGGATTGCAGCTGTATCTCACTTTGTCTCCAATGCTGAATGTTGTCCCTTGCTGGATCCCGTTCCGCAGCCTTCCTGGGTTTCCACACGTATGACTTGGTAGAACTGCCAAAGAAAGTTGCTTCTGGTTAGGACAGTGCATCATAACACATGTATCAGGTGAAGAATCCATACAGATGACTGATCACAATGGCATCCTAGTCTCAAAGTAAATCAGTTAAAACGCAAAGAGCAAATAATCAAACTCACCATACTGGATTACACCAGAACTCATTAGGCCAGTTAAGGTTAACATTTAAGCACCGTATCTACTGAGCATATATAAAGCAAGCACAACCAGTACCAATCAGCTGAGTCAGAAATAAAATCCACTTTCTTGACCTGTTTTCCCAGTTTCTGAACCAAAGCATTCCTCTCCTACACCCCACCCCACAGTTCTAGCCATTTCACATGATTACAGTTGATCAAAATCCAGAGATGACATTCCGGTTTAAAATAATGCTTCTCAGAGCTTTAGCTTTATCAGGCACCTCACAAAGCTTCCTGCAACACAGTCAAAATTGTGTTACGCCTTAGAGCCATATAGAAGACAGCAAAACCTATAATTAGCAACTATTGTCTAGACAAAATGAGCAACATTGCAGTCCACAAGGATTCATTATCATTTCACTGTACATTTAGCTGGGATTTTACATAGATACATCAAAATGAATTCCTGAAGAATGCAGATGGACCCAGCTCCACTGAAGGCAAAATATTTTAGTCAAAAGTTTCCATCAGAAATGATTTAGATTTTAATACAAAAGAGAGAAGTTGGAGGTAAAGTACTGGTAAACCCTACACACTTAACCAATGTCTCTGCATAGCAGCTTCAGAGAAATTAAATAAAATTCTACAGGTTCTCATAAACCATTACAGAAAGATCCACTCAATTCATGGTTCTAGGGCCCAGGATAAAATCCAGCGAAGACAATCAAAAGACTAACAATGCCTTAATCAAATTTGATCAGGTCCTTATGCAGGGTTCTTTCATTAAGGCTGAAACATCAACAGAAGGAAGACGCCACCACTCAAAGCTGAGTAATAATTTACCACGTGAAACATTTTTGTCAGGGGCAAGCATTAAAACAGATGTATTTCTAGGACCAACGGGAGATCTAGTCTGCAGCTGTGTCAAGGAGAAGAGGAAGATTAAGAGAAAAATGACACAGTAGCATACAGGATATGCAACAGAATAAAATATAACCAAAATTGTGCAGCCATGTCAAATGAAACATAAATCCCTAAACGCTTGCTGATGCAAAGACACCACCTTTCTGTCCCGGCATGGGATGGTGCTTTAGGAACAGGACTTGAACTCCTCTTCTGAGCCTCCAGTGCTGACCTTGCCCTGCCAGCAGACCCAGCTCTCTCCTAGGACTGTAGTTCAGGTACTCTGCAGTAAATATGTGGACAGTATCCCTCACAGTGAGAGGAGTGAAAGATTAATCTGTAATGAATATAGGATGCCACTCCCTGGATCCAGACACACCACCTTTTCTAGTCAACCCACTTCCAGATTAAATGTAACCTTATCCTCTTGAACTTAGATTAATTTTACTGTCACATGCACGTGGACTCCTGCACTGCTTCAGTTTCCTCTCCTGTCCTTTTTCCCCTCATCCACTGTGACCGCAAGCTCTCACTACACCCCTGTGTGTGGCAGCACAGCCTTTCCCCGAGCCAGACCAGCGCCTCCAGCACCCCAGGAGCACAATGCTGCGCTTCAGTCCCCACCCCAGAGCAGTGCATGGCCACATACAAGCTTCAACAGGCAGGATTTCTTCCCCTTGCTCCCTCCCCCAAAATACTATTTACATCCCTCCAAAAAGCCCCTGCAGCTGGGCAGTTCTCTGATCATCAACAATTTTCACACAGAAATTTTAATGACCATGCACGTTTTGTAAGAGGGGAGGATGCCATCAAATCTGTCAAATGGGTTGAAAAGCAGTGTAGAACTAATGTTGCATTTTCTGTAATGATACTCAAAATCCAAGTTTAATTAAATTAGCAATGTCACTTTTTTTTTTAAAAAAATGAACTCACTCCTGCTTTTTTGCTTTCTTCCTTCAAAATTAATGACTGGAACTTTTCTATAAATAAAAATCTATCATTTTTAAAAGTCACTCTCTAACACTAGCGGCTCTCTACTTAATGAACTGTGAAGAATCAGACAACCCTGACCTGCATCATATCTTAAAATCACACTTGAAAAATGGGATCTCATTTAAAAATTCTACTTCATTTGGCTACATTAACTAATATAGTGCTACAGGACAGACAGCACACACACGGTCTTTTTGTGGGGAAGCAACATTAACTCCTTGATTGCTTTAGACTCAGGGCGGCTGCTGCATGACTTGGTGAGCACTGATTTTTGAACACTGCTGTGCATCTGCAGAAGGCAAACATCTTCAAATCGCTGGCTCCTGCACAGAAAGAACAGCTTCCAAAGAGGCTGATACCACAGAGCAGGTTCAGCCCGAACAACAGATGCAGCTGCCCGCAAAAGGATCCCCTGCCAGTCATGCCTTTGGTGCACTTGTGCAGCAGACAAATTTGGCCAACCCCAAAGCAAGAGCTGATGAAGCCCACCTTCCCCTATAGAGGGAGGGAGGAAAGTCAAAAGACAAAATGCACATACTTCCTGAGAAAGCCCAGCTTTGCAATACCCTGACAGCAGATGGCACGTTAGAAATCCAAGCACCTGAGGTGAACAGCTTGGAGACGCCCTCTCCAGCCCCCTCAGCCAGCATGGGCAGCCAATGCCTGTTTGAGCTCAGAGTGCGACTTCCTGAGTCAGTGCAACCACCACTCTCACAGCAATGGATTTGTGATTTTATTCCAACATTCCTTAGAAGAGATAATGTTATTGCTCATACTTGGCTGCCGCTAACAGCCAGACTCTCTGATTGCTTGAGAGATTAATAGAACTGTATTATTTACATCAGATGTCATACAGAATAATATTATTCAAGCTTTGTCTTATCCATTTACCAATTTCGCTGTAGATTAGTAGCACAGATTTCCCCCTGCCCCCCCCC